AGAATTTGATGAGGTGTTTAATAGACCTGAAAGCATTGTGAATAAAACACATCATACTGATACAGATCCCATTATGCTGCCAAAAGTACAAGCATCACATAGAGTACAGTCTCATTAGTCCTGAGAAATGAAGGAAAAGTTGATTGTGACAAGATGGTAAGATGCAGTGTTATTGAGAGAATGCAGATACTGACTGGTCTGGTTAGCAACCCAATCACATACAATAATAAAAAATGTTACGGATTTATGTAGATTGAGGAGATTTCAATAAGGCTACCAAATGCAACATAGCCCAAGGGAGTGTTGGGGAAAGACATGTCTAGACTTCCAACATCAAGGATATTTCCAAATCTAGATGCATGCCTGTGATTTTGGCAACACCAGCTAGATAAAATTTTAAACTCTACATCTTCACATCTCTTTTTGCTAGTACATTTTTAAGTAACTTTACTCTGAGATTGTTTCAGAACTCAAGAAGTGACACTCCACAGAATTTTAAATCCTTTAAAAAACAGATGGAAGCAGCTATTTATAACCTCTCGAGCTAATGTGATAATCATCAACACTGTAAAAATAATAGCTGATATCTAGTTTAGCAGGTCTGGCTATCAGAAGCATTTTTCTTTGTATAGGCCTTTTATTGGTTTCCTTCTTTTTTTTTTTTTTTTTTTTTCACAACAAAAAGAGAAGAACAACTGTGTCAGCAATAAGCTCTATGTCAAATAGATTCCAAGTTTAGATTCCTGTCTGATATAGGCAAAGGCCTTGAACTTAGAGGTAGAGGTTCATGACGTCGCCTTCAGGAGTGAGACCAACATCTGAAGTTCCTCTGTATTGCTGCTTTTCCCCAGTGCCACTTGACAATTCTTTTTTACTCCATCAGTTGGTGCATTCACTCGTCTGTGTGAAAAACAACCCCTTTCATATGCCCACAGTTTTAAACATTCTTCTTCACCATGTTTCCAGTATGTCCCCACAAAAAGTCTGTAGCATCCCAAATGAGAGAGTGGCAGCCCGTGACAGAAAAGGGATTTGTGGTAGATGATGTCTGGATATTCTTAAGTGAGATTTTGCTTCTGAAGTCCCTCTGCTGTGACACTGCGTTCTGGGTCTCTTGCACATCACATGACTACTGCACTTGTAATTGGTTTCTAGACTGAGCCTCCTTTTGGACCAATAATTATTAAGTTATTTGAAAGCATTTTTCAAGTATCATTATGTGTAGAACTGGAGCAATTTCAAAGGGACCCTTTACAGAACTGTAAATATTCTGCTTATCAAGCAATTCACCTGCTGTGGAAGAAAATTGCAGGGAGTTAAGATTTCACATTTCCTGCAGGAGTGTGCTCTCTAGGGAGGTTTCTAGCAATAAGATACGACTGAGATGGTTTTCTTTCTCTGATTTTAACCAAAAATTGCTCACTCAATCCAAGAAATCTTTCCCTCAGAAATTACAGGATTAGTAGTGAGTGTCAAAACCAGATTCTGGTAATTCCTGCGTAATTCTGAGAAGGACCTGATGACATGAATATAAACAACTAATGACTCATCCAAAACATAGGAAACAATTCTGAAAACATACGTATGTTCCTAAAGCACACTAAAGACTTTGTTAAAACAGTCGAGCTTTCGAGAGCTTCTAAGTATAAAAAGCACAGCAGCAGCAAGGTTTGAAGTAATCATGAGTCAAGTAATACTATTTCTGAGTAATGAGAATGATGCACCAAAATGATGCCAACTTGTAAGTGATTGAAAGAGTAATTCTTCATGGATGGTTAACAGGGAAAGCCCAGAAACATCCAAGAAAAATTTTTTGTGGGATCTATCAACGTGAAGTGGCTGCACATATTGGAAGGTGGTATAAAAAAACCTCCAAATCAGAATGCAACACAGCATGAGAGCAGAAATGTTAAACAGAACCCACAAGGGTCTATCTGGGTTTTGAAACATAAAACACTATATAGAATGTCATATAAACACCATTACAGAAAATAAAAATAGGATCTGCAACAAATATGGGAAAAGATGCCAAAGAGTTCTTATTGCTTGTGAACTTGCAGCACAGTAATGGAACAATTAATAAAGCTAATAACTGTGGTCTTCATTTCTTCAGGGAGCAATGCTATTATATGAAGAACGGGATTTTACTTTTTGCATCTCTCTAAACTCAGCAGCTATATCTCTTTTAAAAGACCAAAGAAAAAAGGTGAATAGATTGTTATTTGAAAGTGAGTTGTTGCCCACCCTAAATTCCCAGAGCTGATGTTTCTGGCACTTGCTGTAGGAGTGTTGGCCAAATTATTCCTTCCAAGCAGAGCCCAGTTTCGCCTTGGCAGAAGCACCATATGGCAATGGGTGCCTATGAGATATAAAGCCTCTTCAAGCACCACTGAAGTGCTGCCATTGCCCCTCTCCTTATAAGGGGGTGTAGCATATGCTCTCCTGACTAGCTGATTAGCACTACTTAGAGCTAAATAGCAGGAGGATCAGGTTTTACCCTTCTCTGTGTCTTCAGGATGGTGTATCCCACAGAGAAAGGCAAAAAACAAGTGGTCTCTCACATGAAGGATGCAAAAAGTCTCATCTCTCCTCAAATAATGCTGTATCATATCTCTCAGGTGTAATCTTGGAAAAATCAGTATTCATTGTATTTAATCCACACATTTTCTGAGGAAAATATATATTGACTGGGGATGTGATTTGCTTATTTGATTGACGTAAAATAGTCTGGAGTGTTACACATTCATTCTACATGAGAAAGACAGACTTTTAGCTTTGTACTATCTTTTCCTTATAAGAAAAAAAAAATTAGCTGTGCCTTCTTTATGCAACTAGAAGTAAATTGAGTGTAACAACATCACTGTAAAATGATGTGCTTTATAAAGTCCTGAATATGGTGCATCTTTTGTGTTTTGTTTCTAATTGTTTGCTCAATACAAAAGGATAATTCATTAGGCCAATTCTCCAAATAATCTCAAAGTGACATGAATTCCTTTGCAGAGTGAATGTCTGTGGCAAGTAATCCATGGAAAACAGACAGGCGTCTCTTGTCATGTTGGAGCTCTAATCCACTGCCTGGAGCATGAAAATGCTCAGGATAACAAGTGTGGGAATGACCAAAATCAACATTATTTTTTTATTTTCTTTTCTTAACAATGCTGCTGATCAATAGAATTGCTGAATCTGGCAGATACAATGCCACGGGATTAATGAATTAAGCTCACAAAGCAGAAGAATTTGTTAAAAAGGAGAGGAGGAAAAAGCCCCTTCTTTTCCACTGGTGTGTGCATATTAAGCAATGAAAGCAGCAATGACAGAATTTTAGCCCTTGCTTTTCCATAGCACCAAGCCTTGTTCTGCATGAGTCTTTACATTTTAATTAGAACCATACTGACACCCGCTTTTTAAACTATGAACTTCAGTTTTAAACTTAGAACTATTTCCCAAACGCTGGTTAGTAGCTAGATCTGAACACAGAAGAGAGATGCTGTGTTCTGTAAAATTCAGAGTGTAGTGTGGTCACCATCAGTGGGACTGGATAACTGGTTTTCAAAGCACAGTAAATAATGGTAAAAGGAAGGAAGAGACTCTCACAGAAATGCCATAGACTCTGTCACCACAAAGTACTCACATACTCTGCTTTCTGGAAAACCATAGAATGAAATAGAGGTCATCACACTTCCTATGATGATGCCAATGTTTTATAAAGGTCGATTGCCAGCATTTCTGTCAATACTGCATTAGGAATGTAATACAGGGTACATATCTGTGTAAGACATTACATTCCAAAAGGCACATTATATTGATATTCAGCACAGAATGGAAATTTTAATAAAGCATCGCTCACTAGAAGGGGGTTGTTCGAATGTGTGGGAGGACAGAGCTTAAGTTTGCTTATATGTTTATATTTACAGTTCCTTAAAGACCTCTGGGGATTTTGTATATCCTTTTGTTTAAACAAACAAACAAAAATCACTATCCAATTTCATTGCCCAAAAATATATTACAATAATCACAGTCCTAGAAATCGGAAGGTTTGGAACATTTTCAACTTATAAGAACACTTCAGAGAATACGCTGGTGTAATTTATGAGTCCCTCTAGACCTGTCCATGTCTTGAACTGATTGTTGAAGTGGGCTTTACTAGGAATTTCTTTTCCTGAATTGGAGTAGTGCAGGAGGTGGGGAGGGCGGGAGGGGTTAGAGCAACCTTCCCTAACAAGGCTTTAAAAGCTTCAGTTGTAAAGTTACGCTGATGAGGAGACTTTGTTACTTGTTTTTTAACTGGGAACAACCCGAAAAGGATTACGCTACGGGCAGGAGCTGTTATTTATGTGGGTAGCAACGTTGTGGGTTGTGTTGTGCTGTTGCTTTTAAAGAGGGAGGACGCGCATCTTTTGATTAGACCCGTAAAATGAAATTTTAAAAGAAAAAATAAAACAAACAAACAAAAACCCAAACCAAGAAAAAAAAAAAAACACCCCAAACCCAACAACCTGGACAACGATACGAAACAGCTGGTGAAACGTCTAGCTCCGTGCCTTTCCCCAAGCTCGGTGGAGGTTTCTGTTCTCTCATCTCTGCCGCGATGTGTTTCTTTTTTTTTTTTTTTCCTTTTTTTCCTTGCATGTGCTGTGACAGCCGGGGAAGGGGAAGCGGGCGGGGGGGGGGGGGGGGGGGGGGGGGGGGGGGGGGGGGGGTCGATCCTGCCGGCGCTCCCATTGTCAGCCGCTCCCGGGAGCGCGGGCACATCCCGCTGTCCCCCCGCGCCTCCTCCATGTGCGCGGGGAGCGCGGGGGCCGCCCCCGCCGCCCGGGACCCGCCCGCCGAGCGGGGAGCGGGGCCCGGCCCGGCCCGCCCCGGCCCGGCCCGGCCCCGGCCCCTGCCCCCGGCCCGCGCCGCCGCCGCCGCCCGCATCATGCCGCCCCCCCGCCCGCACGCCGCCCGGGGGCTGCCTCCTTTTCCGGCCCGCGGCGTGTGCGTGAGAGGGGCTTGAAGTTGCCCCGGCGGCGGCGGTGGCGAGCGGGGGACCGGGGCGGCAGCGACAGCGGAGCCCACCCCCATCACCTGTTACCTCCGCTCCCCAGGTTGCCTGAAGTTCCCCGGCGGCGCCCGGCAGGACGGGGAGCGCCACGGCTGCGGCTGGCGGGGACCCTACAGTGGCTGCTGCAGCATGGGCTGGCTCAGGGGGATTGCCTTGCTTTCCTTGGGAGTATTACTAGCGGGAAGAGTCAACTGCCAGCATGTGAAGAATAACGTGCCAAGGCTCAAATTATCCTATAAAGGTAAGACTGTTGTTCTCTCTCTTATTCTCGGTTTTCCTCCAAGCCCTCTTCTCCTTGCCCCGTCGCTCCCTCCCTCCCTCCCTCCCCACCTTCCTCGCTGCTTTTCCCTTGTCTTCCAAAGGTGAAATTGGCATTAGGAGAAATTTCTGAAAAAATTTACTCGAAAAGCCCCATCCGTGCTGCGGTCGGCACCAGGCAATTTAAACCCAGACAAAGAAGAGTTAGTTGCGTTTGCAGACGGTGACTCCGGATCGTGCTGATCCGTGTTAGAGCATTTTTCAGTCTTGTGCTATTTCATCGGACTTTACTCTTTAAAACGATGAGTCGTGTTTGGCCACCCAGCTCATCTTCCCCGTGCTGGGCATGCAGTGCAGCCACAATCCCAGATTTGTTTTAAACAGCATGGAATAGATGATGATTTGTATTTATTTTATTTTTTTTAGGCACGAAGTGGTTAATTTTCAAGTCATGAATATTCAGTTTGTACAAATCTGACAATCAGATGCCTAACATAAGCAGTAGATGGTGGGTTTGCCAAGAAACTATAAACTGAAAGGAACAGATCAGTCCAGAAAAGGAGGAGAGGACTGCTAGGCACCAGAAAATGCTGCCTATGGATGTTTAATGCAGTGCGATTTATTTGAACCAGCGTTGTTTTCGGTGTAGTCTGATGTGTGTCATTAGAGATCACAGGGAAGGTGTAACTGAAGAAAGAGAGCTGTGAGATTGCGTTTGCGTTTGAAATTGTGTAATGCCACTCACACTGCAGTTGTCAGTAATTAACTTTTGTATAGTAGCGCCAGTATTAAAGGAGAACTGTGAAGTAGACAGGCTCTTCTCTTTATCAGCATAGTTCCACTCTAAGTACATTTTCAGAAGAATTCACCAAATCTGGAGAATGTGCAACTGGGAAAGAAGTTTAAAATGTAAAGAGCTGTAGAGTATTTTTTCTAAAAAGGAGAGCTCTACACCAAGGTGTGTATACACATCTCTCTCAAGAGCTGCCTCCTCATAATTCTCAGATTATTGAAGACTGAGAGAAGGAGCAGCAGCAGCTATGGTTCTGAAAGGGGGGAGGAGAAGTAACACACTGCTTCTACAGCGGGGAAAAAGAGAACATGTGTGTGCATGCCTGGTCATAGATGTCAATCTCAGTTTACATTCTGTCAATACATCTCTTGCCAGTAGAAATACGTTTTCCATTTTTTTTTCATCTTTCTTATGCTGCAAATGAGAGAGGGGAAAGTCCTCTCTGATACAAGGCAGGCGTCATTTTCACACTCCAGATGAAAAAAAAATTAAGCACCTGCAAAACTTGGATGCACTGCGTGAAATAAATGCATGTGCTGGATTTTCTTAAAGAACAAGTATATGCAAAGTTGTGTGTATTTAAACTTGAAAATACATGTATGAAAAGAACACTTTAGGGGTTCCGAATCTCTAATTTGATTTTAATGAGAAAAAACATTTGTATTTAACACAAAATTGATTATTTTGAGTAATGGAGTCTGAAGAAAACTTCTACTGTAACTACATGTCATGTCAAAAAACTCATTAAAAACCTCTTAATTGCTTCCAAACTTTTACAATCGTTCTGAAACTCAGATTAGTATATAGAAGCATAAATGCTATAAAAATATCCTGTAAAGGGGTTTAATGGCTAATTAATTATTGTTTATTTTTTTCACCCTTTAAAAGTTTATCTATGGCTCAAGTCTGCTACCCCTGCTCATACTGGCTAAATGCACAGAAACTAATTTCAAAAAGTGGCCAGATGTGTCTGAGAGTGGTTTTCTTTTTTTTTTTTCTTCTTTTTTTTTTTTTTTTTCTATTTTCACTCCGCTGGCACTGTATTCTTATGCAGTTTAACAAGATTTTGTTACTCTGCTGATTGGTTGTTTTCCATTCTGCTCTTGCTGGGACAATGGGTCTAATTTTCATTTTTTAAATATATGAGACGTCAAATTTTGATATATGATCGGTCCTATATGAGCAAAACAGGAAACTGAAAGGAACATTGAATCTGTTTTATACGTGGTGGATCACTGTGTACCAAAAATGAGTTCAAGTGCTGAGCAAGCCTATCTAGCAAAGATAGTAACTGCATAGTTAATCCAAAGCAAGTTAAAAGTCCGAAGACTTACGGGAATTCACACTCTGGCCTTTGATTCACATGTTTGACTTTAGACATGTAACTCTAAAAATCAAATCAGACTACTCACATACTTAATGTTAAGTACGAGTGTAAAGGCTTGACCAGGTCAATAGGAGCGTGTTGCTAGTGCTGCTGCATTGATCACTGAATATGGGGATGTCATTATTAGTCAGGGAAAACTAAGCTTTGTCAGCTGGTGCTTTTCCAGACAAATTTTGCTTCCAGCACCGTATTCAGTGCACAGATTAATGTTAACACCTTGCGTAGGAACATCTTAAAAGCTCTGGGTATTGAAAATACATCTTTTAAGCACTGACAGAATGCCTCACATGCTAATATGTATCTCTCTGGATATACCTCACAGCTGTGTGACTATGTGATATCAAGTGATTCATCTCTATTTAAACTGCTTGCAAGTAGAAAAAGAAGCTACCCAGCTACTTATCCATTCCTCATCTCCATGAAGAGATGTGATTGAGTAAAAGAAACTTATGATGTTGAAAAAGAAACCCCAACTATGCAGGGTGGCAAGAGTGACCCAAGTGACTTCACTTTTCTGTGACTGTGCTTTCTTTTAAGATGTGTGTTTGTTTTTTACCTAAACAAATACCTTGGAGCTAATTGTCGGTGCTTTATTTCGAAAGAAAATCGAAGGATGTATTTTAACTTCTTGTTTGTCTCAACTAATTAGATGTCAAACATGGTTAAAAAGCTCAGGCATTTGCTTTAAAAGTTAGTGAAATGAGTCATGAAGGGTTAAATCCCTGCCAGACTTGATTTCCTATGGTCACTTGTTTTCAAAGGCCCAGTATTAGCCCTGCCATTTCCCAGGTTGCTGGACAGAAGTTTTGGTGAACCCCTGTTCTTGGTTCCTCTTAACTTCTTGTCACTCAATCTTGCAGAAGATTACAAGCGTCCTACAGGGCATGTTATGGATAGGAAGAGGAAGAGAAAGTGTATAAATGCATATGTCAAGCCCACATCTGGGGTATGAAAAGGTTCTTTTCATTTATTGTAAAACAGAGTTATGGTTATTTGGTTTACATCACCTTGATTTTGGTGACATATTAAAGAAAATTTGAGGAGATCACTAGGGAAATCCTTGTCCAGCTGAAATCTGTGATGAAGCTCCTGTTCAGTAGCTTCAGAATTTTGCTCTGTACTTTTTAAAGTTTCCGAGCATTTTCATCTTTGTGCATGGATTGGAAAGATTTTACGCAGATGATATTTATCTTCTTATTTCAGTCAAAGGGAATTAATATGATTAAAAGCCTGATCCAAAGTTCATTGAAGTCAGTAAGTTCTGGATCATAGCCTAAATGTGGCAGAACCAGCCATAAAACCGAAAGCTCAGTTGAGCTCTTCAACCTCTGAGCTCTTCTTTTTGTGTCCTTTGAAGACTGTGTCCTTATTGTCAAGTAACAAGAAATGTCATAGTTGATATGTCAAAAGTAAAGGAATCTTCCTTTCAAGAATGTAGGGGGCTTGTGTTTTGCTTTTTTTTTGTGTTTGTTGTGTTTTTTCTAATCTCATTGACTTCAATTCTGGTGTCGGTTCTAAGTCTCTATATTGTGTCACTAGGTCACAGATTCTGTTCAGGAAACTTCTACTGAGCGCAGAGTTCTCAGAAAGATGGTGATCAAGTTGAGTGTGCAAAGTTTAAAACAATAAATATAGCCTGAACTCCAGATGGATTTCTTGTATCTTTTATTGTTTCCTATTTTCTTTTGCTCTCCTCTGTATGGCGGGGGGTGGGGGGGAAACAGCACAAACTGGAACCAGCTACAGTAACCTTTAAATATAAACAATTAAACCCAAAGAAAGAGAGCGTTTCCATTAACAGTTCCTTGATTTACGGATTTTTTTCCCAAGGCAACCCTGATTTTTGTCTCCAAACGAAAGTTGTGAACCCAACTTTCTCAAATCCATCTGTCATGTCTTATTTGTCTATTGAAAATTACTAAATGCTGTAAGTATGTTTTGCAAGAGTACATGTGTGGTTCTCTTTTGTTATTGTTGCTCAATTGGATGCATATTACTTGAGAATAAGTAAGTGGAAAAGCATTGCGCACAGATTTAGCTGTATTACTCCCTGGCTCCAATTCAAGCCATATTAAAAATAAGTGTCTTGTTTAAAGTTGCAGTGATAGTGACAACTACTCCATCCTTGATGTGCAGTTGATTTACAGTTTTATAGGATGGATTTTTTTATCCGGATGAAATCCTGGCCCCAGTGAAAGCAATGGCAAAACTTGTGTCCGTTTCAATCTGTCCAACCTGCAGTGATGAGGGAGGAATGGCACTGCACCGAATTACCTGTATGTACACTGATGTAAATATGATACCTGGCTTGTAGTTTGTTGACCCAGTCTGGTTGTAGTTGATGACCTGCTGGTGGGTTTGATTGTGGTTTCTCCTTTCCATCAAACTCTATAACTCACAATTCAATACCTCCACAAATATTGGGAAAGCAGGGCGAAGTGGGAGAAGGAAATGGGGAGAGAAATATTGGCAAGGGAGACTGTTTCTCTTGAGTTGGTACCAGTATTGGAGTTGGTCTCATATTTCAAGGTATCAGCTTAAAAAACCTTTGCTCAATGATGTTGTAAGAGTACTGTCTGAGGGAGGAGCCACTCTGATGTGCCTGAAAGCAAGAGAAGGACAGCCCCAACTTAGGAAGAAGACTGTGAAGAAAAGTAAACCAGGTACATTTGCATCTGTTTCTGACATTTCTGCATGGCTCCAGCATTCTCGGACCTCACTGTTCAGTCAGTGCAGGAGGCTGGGGGACAGGGAATATATCAGATGTAGCCACAACCTCTAAACCATTTTTTTTCACTCCAAA